ATTTAAGGCCATTGCTGGGAACGGAATCAACAGGTAATTACAGATTTTCACTACTATTTCACCTGCAGCAAACATTCTTCTGTTATCAATCTGTAATTTCAGATCATTCAAAGTAGGCTTTGCCNAACGCTGTGCTCCTGGCTATGCAAGTCTACTCAAGAGTGACCTCTTATCTCCTTTCAAGTTCTGCTTTCCTGTAAAGGTTGGGAGCTGTTTTGCGTCGGGGACGTCTTGTCCTTGCTTTCTCTTAAGATCTTATCATATTCCTGCATTGCTGACTCTACAATATGCCTGCTTTTTCCTATATAAGATGTAACCTAAGAACCAATAAATGAGACTTGATCAGAATACTGTCTTGTCGAGGACATGTAAGATGGCGATGGGAAGGAGCAAGATGGCGACGGGTCTGGAGCGGGCGTGCCAGAGGACAGAGCGAGCCTGAGAAGTGTGCGCTGTGCTGCCAGAGTACTATTTGCATTTCCAAGAGCAACAAAAAACAAATAAATCACTGATCAACTAATCTACAACGAAAAAAAGCAACTACAGTCTTGAGGTTTTAGGGCCGAAGCAAAAGATTCCTGAGAGCACCGCAACCGCGCCGGGAGACCGACTAGCCCAAGGCAACAAAGGCCAGGAAAGATGGCAGCGGCGACGCACAGACAGAGAGGAAGGCACGGGACCGGCCCAGCTCTGGGAGCTTTGTGAGTGACCCCCAGCCCAGCGCCGCTTGGGGGGCAAAGGCCCGCCCTGTCCACACTTACCACACCAGGCTAGGCGCCGGCACCACCACTGCCTCCATTTTCTCCAGGGGGGGGACGGAGCCGGCCGGCTCAGATCGGGCAAGCCAGCGATCTTCACTTGGTGCAGCTCCTCACTGAGCCGTGCCACTTGTGTGCCTCAGCGCGGGGCCCCCCGGGGCCTGTGGAGCGGCCACCAATCCCACTCCTCCTGCGGATCTCTTGCGGGGCTGGTGGTGTGGGGAGCCCCTGGCCAGCGTCGGGAGGGCAGAAAAGAGGATCCCAGCCAGACTGTCACTCCACCACACCTGGGGCCTCGGCCCCAGGTAAACTCCCTGCTTCCAGGAGGCAGATACCATCTCTGTGGCCTTCAGTTTGGAAAAATCCCAGACTGATTTCTGGCTGGGAGAGGGGTGACCGGGGTACCCCCGAGCCCGCTTCATCCTGCCGGAGAGCTGGCCTAAGGGCGCCGAGCCGGCTCACGCCGGGGTGATTGAAAGAGGAACTGTGTGCTGTGGGAGCATTATGTACAGATCCACTCTCTGAGCCACCTTCCAAAATCTGGTCCCCAGGCTTTTCTCCATGGAGTCTGCCTCCTGAGACATGAATAGCTGCTCCTTTCTGGTCATTTTCTGTCACCAGAGGCAGATTTTAATATGTCTTTACCCTTTTCAGCAGCTAATAAAGAGTCAGGGTTACTGTCTGGAGTAGAGCTGTGCACAGCCATCTCCTCCTGCCTCTCACCGTCTAATTCACTCACTTTGTACCAGGGCCCTCTCAGGTTCTTGAACTTCCCTCCTTTTGCCTCTAATGTGAAGTTCTGTGTCCACTTCTGGGTCTTTCCCGTTATTTCTTTCAGGGACTTCTACACTCAAAAGACCATCTTCTACATTTTCAGGGTCAGTATAATCTATGGCTGATCTTGGTGTCTCCTGTTTGCTATCCGGGATGAATGAGTCATCATCTTCCTTTTCTTCCTCTGAAGGACTCTCTAAATCCATCACATCTGTTTTCTCTTCACCTCCCATGACAATAGAGAAGACAGTACCCCCCAAGCTGTTAGTATATTTTTATCACCATTTTTGATGGCAGGAGGCAGAGTTATCTCAACCTTATGCTCTCCATTTGAATTCTGCTCTTTATTTGTTGAATATTTCTCAACTCCAGACTTCACTGGAGTTTTCATATCTTCTTCACTTGTAAAGATTAGTAATGGTAGCTCATCAAAGTTTTCTTTATTCTCCTCTTCTTTTTCAAATGAGTAATACTCAGCATCCAATGCCTCATCAAAATTATCTTCTAAAGAAGTAACAAGTCTGGTTGTCTCATCGTCAGATATAAGTGCATCAGCAGTTGAGCCAAATTTGGTTTTCAAGTCCAGAGTCATGTCTTTTTGCAAAAGTTTATAAGCATCAATCTTCTGTTCACTGGAAACCTGAGAACTATTGCTGGTTTTGTTGTTTGCACTTTCTGGCACTTTTAATTGATCTTGCAGCATTTCTTCAAGAGGTTCAAACAAAGACTGCTCTCCCTTAGAATCGCCCATTTGACTGTTTGCATGTTTCTTCTCAGCTATAAACCGTTCCTTGAGACCATTAGTCTTTTCTAGAAACACACTTTTGTTTTCCCCTAAGTTGGCTTCTTCTGGTTCAGGTTTAGGTTCAGTTTCCTTAGATACTTCAGGAGTTTTTTCCACATGCACATGCAGAGAAGTTTTTTCTACAGCTTTCCCAGAATCTCCAGTTGCAGACTTGTATAATTCCAAAAACCCTAAAAGTTCTTCTACATTATAATTATCAAAATCGTCTCTTCCGCCATCAAAGCAAACAAAATCTGTCTCCTGTAAGGGAAAGAAAAACATTGATGTGTCACTAACCAAGAGGCACAAGAGCAAACTCTTACCATGCTACTGACAGAGAAAACCCTAAGTTCATTTTGGCTCTAGAGGGGCTCCTGTGTCAACCTTGAGTGATGACTACTCTCAGGCAGTGGGGGGACAGGAGGCTGGAGCCCACTTTCTCACCCAAGTAGTACTCCTGGCTTCGCTTCATTCTCTCTTCCCCAGGAAAGGAATGATTCATGTGGCTGGTGAGTTATGCTCAGCCCCATCCCTGTGTTGTGTTTCGGACCTGCCAGAGGGAATTCACAGGTGCCTTTTAGGTTGAATCCTTAGCAGTAAGCAACAGGGAGTGTGCTGCCAAGTCACCATCTTTAGTTCTGAAGAGTTTGAGTTTACATGTTCCCCAAATGTCACAAGTATCATGATAATCAACTGAAACAGACACTTCGGATATACTAATAAAACAAATTTTTATTAACTATTACTACAGAGAACTTCAGCAAGAGGGGAGATGAAGTTTAGTGATCTTTTAGTAAACATTTTTAGCGTAACAGTCTTATAAACACCATTGCTATGTATTTATCTAGTGCATACTAAAAACAGGATAATGGAAATACATGTTCTTAAAGCATTTCCACAGGAAATGTTTATATTTTTTATGACATTCTAAATCGTTTAGCAATTACATACATATGCTACATTAACTAAAACACAGGAATTCTTTATTGCACATTTGAAAATTGTAAGGATGCTCTAGCTTAAGAGGTGATTTTTATCTAGGGAGGAAAACCACATTTTTGAATTGTTTGGCTCAAGAAGCGCACTGCCAAGGCAGCTTAGTTCTAAAACATCTTAAAGTGAACTTCTGGATTTTGAAGCCAATGAAGTCCTTTACTGTAATGAATAGTGTATAGTCCACTTTCTCCCCAACCGTCAGAGGTTATAGTTACGGGCTCTGTTTTAAAGCCCGTGAACAGTCCTGGCTACTGCTCTGAGAGGCAGGTAAAGGCTCCTCTCTCGAGCCCGAAGGGAGGAAGTCTCTTGCAGCAGGTAGTGGTGGGTAATCCTGGGGGCCATGGGTTGGGGGTGGTAATCGGCTACCAGGAATAAAGTACTCTCTCGGGCCAAGAGAGCCGAAAGGTCTAAATGGTGTGTGTCCTGGTACAAATCCCCGAGGGTCAAAAGGCAGGTCCCGTCTTCCAGGTGGAACGCCTGGTGGATATTCTCTTAAGTCTAGTGGTGGACGCATACCAGGACCTGGAAAACAAACATTCAGTCATGTAAAAATACCTAGGAACATATCTAAGTTAAGATGATTCCAGGTACATTAATATATTCTCTAATTTCTCACAACCCTAGAACGTCAAGTGGTGGCATCCCAGTTTTATAGATGAGGCAAACTGAGGCTCAGCAATTTTAAGTTACATGCCTTTGGCCAGCCAGCCACGAAGGAGCATAGGCAGGATTTAAACATGGCTCTATGTAGCTCCACACTTGCATTCTTTCCACTATACAATCATGCCATCTTTTTCTCATAAGAGCTCAATTTGTACTTGGATGTACCATAATACCATACCAAAGTGACAGATTATGAAATAGGGCTTCCCTGCAACAAAGAAATTTTGACAAAGGAAACTCCATTGCCTACTATTGTAAAAATTCATGCAAGAGCTCAGCATAGAACTAACATATGCCATCAAAACCAAGGTGCTTGCCCTGCTGGAGAAGACCTTCTAGCTTCATCCAACTAAATTCAGCAACATTCACTGGATAGCTATTACATCCTACCTTCTCTTTAAAAACTCCTTCTGATCTATTCCCAAGTGAGGAGTGAGGCTTTAACCTTTCCTTCTTTTGTGTTCTGTGACCCATTTCTTATGCTTCTGTTATAGGTGATCACAAGCTTTATGTTGTAGAATCTATGTGTCTGTGAACTACAGGACATCTTGAGTTAAGGGATGTGTCTTAACCACCTTTCTATCCATTGCAGAGCCTGGTACATAGCCATGGGTGTTTAATAAAAACCTGCAGAAGTAATATTTCTATCACTAGCTCCTTTCCTTGTCTAAATGAGATAGTTGCTGCCATCTCAGTACAGGGAGACTGTGTAGCACTCCATGTGTCCTAAGAACTTGAGCCAAAATTGAAATGTACTCAGTCAGATTTATCCTGTATTGCAAAGCCCTGCAATAGCAACCGTTTTAGCGAGGAACAGAGAGAAAAGATGAATATACTTTACAAGTCAGGTACTACTACTGAAATCATCGTACCGAATGGTGGAGGAAAAGGCCGAGGCCCGAAAGGCCCGCAGAGCTGAGGAGGTGGTCCATATCGAATGGGTGGTGGGATGGGGCCTCCAACCAGGGAGCTCATGGGGGGCACCCCCGGAAAAGGAGGCGGGGGGCCTTTAGGAGCCATATTAACCTGAAGAATAGGAACAATTCAAGTTTGGAAAATACTTCGGTATGACAGACAAAAGCACCAACACCAGTAAAAGGTAAAACCAAAAGAAGCAGATGTCAGACACCTGTCCAAAGAACGGAATCAGTGCAACAAAATTCTACCCCTCCCCCGTTTGTTCTAACTGACAGCTTAGAGAGGTTATAGGGATGCCACAGGAGTGAACAGTCTCACTGTAAGCATATTACTGTTTGTGTCTGCGAATGGAAGGGAAAAGTAAGAGGAATGTCAAAGGTTATCAATGGAGATGACTCCTGATTAATAAAAAAGTCATACCATACACACTGTGATGTACCTCTAAGGCAGTCACTCCCTCCATTCACCACAATAGCTCTTTATTTCCATATTAAGAATGCAGAGAAAAGGAATGAAAAATCCATTCTCTACACATGTTCTAATAGCTACTAGTCAGAGTACCTTCAAAAGGGCTTTTGTATATCTTGAATTCTCAGATCTCTAAATCTCTAAGTATGACCATCTTATTTTCATTGTGGGAGAACAGAGTTTTAGATAATTTGCTGAAGGTCCCCCAGCATGGAAGAGGCCAAGCTGGAATTCAATACCAGGTTTGCCTCCAAGCCCTTGCTCTTTCCACCTGTGCTTTGCCTCTCTAACAAAGCGGTCTCTACTCTCTCTAGAGTCTTCCTCCTCAAAGGGCTTTTGGGTCTTACCCAAGCTTCCCTTGGATAAAGAGATCTCTCAAGAGATATGTGTTACTGGAGTCCTGCCCTGGAACTCGGAAGTATCTTCCAACAGAAACAATGTTATATATACAATTAGGCAGGCACAGCTCTAATACTTACCTTCATTCATTAGAAATACTATATGTTATAAGATACTGACTAGCCATTTCCTATGGTAAACTGGGTTGGAACTCTAAATATTTAAACTTACTTTGATTTCAACATAGAGAAGCACTATGAGGTATGATCAGAAGACTTACCAGCTATAACAGCAACAGAAGTAACAAGAGAATACAGTTATGTGAACATAATTTAAGGCCATTGTTGGGAATGGTAATTACAGATTTTCACTACTATTTCACTTCCAGCAAACATTCTTCTGTTATCAAACTGTAATTTCAGATCATTCAAAGAAGGCTTTGCCAGGGCCGGCCCGTGGCTCACTTGCGAGAGTGTGGTGCTGATAACACCAAGGCCGTGGGTTCGGATCCCTATGTATGGATGGCCGGTTAGCTCACTTGGAGAGCATGGTGCTGACAACACCAAGTCAAGGGTTAAGATACCCTTACCGGTCATCTTTAAAAAAAAAAAAAAAAACACCAAAAAACAAAGTAGGCTTTCCGTAGCGTACAAGTGGAGAAATTCTTAAATAGCACTCTTCCAAATGAAGATATAATAATGATGGGTTTTGCAACTTAAAAAGAATTTATTTTGCCTAAGAGCATTCAACACTGAATCACACAATATAGTTGAAATGATGACTTTTCACCCTTTTAAAGTTAATTACAATTATAGCAGATGCTCTGAACAGGTTAATTGTCTAACCAAAACAGGCAAGAGGAGAAAAAAACAACCAACCAACTAGTCAGATTTCACAACATTCCCAAATCAAGGACAAGGGTGAGATCAGTACTGCAGTGCAATTTAAAGCCAAGTACATCAGTACTCCTCATATCCTTTCCAGAAATACACCAAGTAAAAGCCCAGTCCGGTCCTCGACCTCTATGTACTTACTGCTCCTGGATGCTCAGCCATAGAAGTAATGCTGGGAACTGAAGGGCCTTCAGGCTCTTGGGGAACAGTTTGCTTTTTAAAAAATAAACAATAGAACACACAAAGAGGAGATGAGGCAAAGAGAGAGTGCTGTAGGAAAAGCTGAATGTTCCTGAAATACCTGATTGTAATTCACAACAGCTGCAGCATTTACCTTGCCCTCGTCCATCACCTTAGAAGGGGAAGAGCTTCTTGAGTTGCTGTTCATCACGGCAGCTGCACCAGATCCTGGGTCTGTCAAAGGCCAGAGTACTTATTTAGACTTATTTTGATTGTACACTGTGAAAAGAACCTCCACTCACCTTCCACCATGACTTTAGACTCTTTGAACACACTTAGGTCCCTTACCAGACGCAGAGGGTTTCCCAGACACCTCAGAAGACCATTGAGGATGAGACAGAGGCCCATCCACTGGCCCTTGAGAAAAAGATAACTGAGCCCTTGAATGTATTCTTTCAGAAGAAATAAACAATTGTGGACAGACCTGGGTTCAACTCTACCTAGAAAGCGGCATTAAAAACAGGTCTCCCAATACACTTAAGGGAAATCACTTGTAATTTATGCATGGGCTTAAAGAATTAAAATAAGAACTGTTGTGGATTGAAATAACAGCAATAAACCCTGCACATTAGCAGCACTGGTTCTGTACTTCATTTTAGCTTGATATAATTCTATAGGCTGATTGTTTTCACTATATAATCTGACTTCAATATCTTACCTAGCATTATAGACATATTTAGGATTTTTGAAACAAACTTACAGTATTTCAGACTATAGTGCTGATATATAGAAGTATGTATGCTGCATAAACTATAAAGGGCTTAAAGAATTAAAATAAGAACTGTTGTGGATTGAACTAACAGCAATTATCCCTGCACATTAGTAGCACTGGTCCTGTACTTCATTTAAGGTTGATATAGTTCTATACGCTGATTTTATTCACTATATAATCTGACTTCAATATCTTACCTAGCATTATAGACATATTTAGGATTTTTAAAACAAACTTACAGTATTACAGATTATAGTGATGATATATAGAATTATGTATGCTGCATAAACTATAAAGTTTTAAGGCTAGTTTTATAATATTCAGGAGAGGAATCTCACATTTAAAGATAAAAGGTTATACTTCCCAGTAAAAAGTTAAACAAAAAACAAGAAAAGGACCTCCACAGAAATAATAAGTAAATGCTTTCTGTTCTAAAGTAGATCTTGCAGTAGACTATCCACCAAGACAAATTAAGGAATTTGCTTCTGTCTACCGGAAAGACCCAAATTCTACAATGTTATTTGCATTAGAAATCTTGAATAAGAGGGAACGAGCACTCTTGAAACAGTTTATTTCAGGGTCACATGTGAATGCTCACCAAATTCTCTTCTAGGCATATCTCTTCGGTTGAGCGTAGCGGAGAGAGGCCTCCCGGGTGGCTCTGCTGCCAGTGGAGGGGAGCATTCTCCACCACTCACAGGGGATGGGCCAAACGAGCCATTGTGGCTCAGAGGACCTGAAGAAGACAGCATCTTGTTACCACTTTCAGACCTTTCTTTTCTTTGGTAAGTTCTTGGAATTATTTCTAGGGCATCATAACTATTACACACAAAATAAAAAGTAATTTATATACACTTTACACCAAAAAACAGATTGCTGCTTTTTACGAAATGTTTCCCACCTCTCCGTGAAGGGTTTTGTGTGTTTGGTCTTCCTGGCATTGGTTTTATAATCACAGGCTCTTCTTGCTGCAGTGCCACCTTTTGAGTTATTTCGAATAATCTTGAATATAGAGAAAGAATGGACTTAAATATGAAATAGAAATCAATTCCTCATTAGAGACCACGTAATACAGCCTTTAAAGAACTAAACAGCATTGAAAATAGAGATATCAAAATCACTTACTTGTGTCTCAGGTCAGCGGCTTCCCTTTTCTCTTCAGCTATAGCCCTTTCTGCAGCACGAACTTTTAGCTGTTGGAGAAAATATATTTAAATACAGTTGTGGTACATTATGCACAAAGTAAAGGAAAGAAAGAAAATCTTACCCAGTTATCATGCACTTTTTTTTCCTGAGCAGCAATCTGAAAAGATACATCAAAAAATGTTTTGGAATTCATTATAATAGCCATTATAACAGCCTGTATTTGATACCAAAGAATTCTGCAACTGTAGGGCAGTATAATTATTACCTGGTCTTTAAATGAGCGCTCTGTTTTCTGCAATTCTTCCTCCATTTCTTTAATTCTCCGCCTAAGAATTACACTTGTTTTTACCAGTTAAAGCAGAAGTGGATAAAAATTCAAACAATCTGGCCACATTCCCTATACTCTTAACAACTGTACCGTAAAAGACTTCATCCGTACATCTAAAAACATATTTACATGGTTATATAAATAGAGTACAACAATGATGAAAACACATATTTACATGGTTATATGTACCGTAAAAGACTTCATCCGTACATCTAAAAACATATTTACATGGTTATATAAATAGAGTACAACAATGATGAAAACTAATGCTACACAATTTCCTTATTATTTAATGGCTAGAAATTTTGAGTCGGTGGAGATTATGAGTTGATAAATTATAGTATCTTTATATGTTCTTCAATATGTTCCCAAATAATTCTATTAATATCTTCCTTGATAAAGCTTTTTTCCCCCCCTTTATCAGAAAACTTCCAAGAGTTATGACTACTGCATCTATCAAATGGTACAGTAACTTTAATGGCTTTTGATACATCCAACAACAAATTGGTCTCTAAAGAATTACTGCAATACATACTCCCCTCTCCCCCAAATTGTTTGCATGAACCAAGTTCCCTTACAGTCTTGCCAGCACTGGGTATAAAATTTAGTTTTTCTCTTGTGTGAACTGAAGGTATTCATGCCCTCTGACATTTATGCTTCTGTACAATTATTTTCTTCTACACAATGTAAAAATGGTTATTAAAAAAGCTAACACTACTTTCATTAGCCATTGACACCACCTTTAGAAGCTGAACTCACTTGTAAGTTTTTACTTCCTCTGCAGCCAAAACCGCCTTCTCATCTGCAGTTGACAGCTGCTGCTCTCTTTCTTGCCGCTCATACTCTTCTTGACTCAATTTCCTAAGATAAAACGGGTTGTCAAGTGAAAGTGTTTCTCTTTCTTCCTAGCAGTCTAGCTGAAATCTCTATTCAAATGTCACTTCCCATCCTACTCTCAAAAATACACAGACACAAAAAGTCATAGGAAGGAATTCAAACCTGCCATTAAGGGATAAAAATCAAACTATGAACTGTTTGAGAATCACCTGCATTTTCTAACTCATAATTCTCTGCTCACTAATGAATGAGACAGATGTAAGAACACTGTGGGCAATCTCTTGTGCTGGAGATGAAGAAAGCTCACCTTACTTCAGTGTGGAGAGCCAGACGAATCAACCGAATATAACTAAGCTTATTAGGGTAGAGCAAGGGTGAATTACTTCTCTTATTTCTACCATGGAAAGACTACTAGTTACTTTTCTTATTTTGTTATGGATGAACTATTTCTGAAACCAAGACATGATAAAAGTCATCAGCCAAAGAGCCTTTGGAACATGTCATGTAACTATGGAATTAACAGTAGAACATTTTCACATGTCAGATGTGGAACTCCTACTACCTACTTCGATGGAATCATGGTTAAGGAAAGAGGCCAATCTGAGTACTGGCAATGTTAATTGAACAGAAAAAGAATCCAAATGGTCCCATAAACAGGGTGTTATCTACTAGAAACTGGTTTGAACCTAATAACCTACAAGTTTGTGATGTCAATCTACTATAACATAGATTGTAAAGGGAGCAACATTGAATTGTTTAAAAATGCTATTTTCTAGTAACACTTGTGCTTCTTTACCCATAGTTCTGATTCAAGATACTTGAATTGAAACAACTTTCTATGAATCAGAAGCAAATTTAGAAGAGCTATAGTAAAAAAAGGTTACTAACACCAAAGAAAAAGGTTTAGGTATTTTTTTTTTTTTTCTTTTTTCCATGTCCGGCAACAGATCGCAACCCTCAGTGTTGCCCCCGTACCGGACCGGGACCGGCAACGGGATCGCAACCCTCGGTGTTGCCCCCGCGCCTCGCTCAGCCAGTGAGCGGGAACCGGTCTGTATGTGGGATCCGAACCCTCGGCGGGAGCGCCTCCGCACTTCCCACGCGGCGCACTAGCGCAGTGCGCCACCAGGCCGGCCCAGGTTTAGGTATTTTTTTTTTTTCTTTTTTCCATGTCCGGCAACAGATCGCAACCCTCAGTGTTGCCCCCGTACCCGACCGGGACCGGCAACGGGATCGCAACCCTCGGTGTTGCCCCCGCGCCTCGCTCAGCCAGTGAGCGGGAACCGGTCTGTATGTGGGATCCGAACCCTCGGCGGGAGCGCCTCCGCGCTTCCCAAGCGGCGCACTAGCGCAGTGCGCCACCAGGCCGGCCCAGGTTTAGGTATTTTTTTATAACTGCTCATTCAGTACTTCAGCAAATATTTTACATGTGGCTATAATAAAGCAGTCACCTTGTAAGATGCTAAGATAAAATTATGGGTGAAGAACTATCTATCCCCCCCCACAAATAAAGGAGCTCACAGTTTAATGTATAAAAGATATATATAAGAACAGAACAATTCCTCCCTAACTCTAATTTAGTAAGAAATAAGAAAAAAGTGAGACTTGAAGACCAGAGAGAATTTTGCTTCCAGTAGTAGAAGAGTTAGTCTGAGAACAATTAGAACATCTAGACAAAAATAGAAAGAATGTGCTTGAAGGCATCAGAGAGCTAATAAGGCAGGAAAGATACATGTGTATGGCCAAGATCCAGTAGGAAAAGGAATCTCAGAATTACAAGTAAGCCTGGCATTTTAAGCCACTTTTCCCCTTGGTTCATCCACACACTGAAGACAGTGCAGTGAGATAAGGAGGCTGAACATACAGGTTTTAAGAGATCTCTCGTTCAGATAAAAAAGAGATGGAGTTCTGGGCTGCTGGTGATGGGGGAAATCTAGTAAAAGCCCTAGGCTTTGAGTTGAGACTAGAAAGTGCTGGATACATGGAATAATGAACTGTCAATACAATGTCCTCTGAAGGAACTGACATTTTTGAATGACCTTAAGTGCTGACTGGATTAAGTGACGACCACTTGCTAGGAATAAACTCAAATATTTCCGGTTGGAAGATCACACCATCCTAGGCCTCAAATTTCCTTTATCATTATCATATGCAATGGTTGTCACTCAATCTAAACTGACCAGGTACTCCACAAGATAAGACAATGTGATCAAAATCTAAAATAAAAGAGAAATGGACTGAACGTCTTCACATAATGGAATTATTTTTATATAGATTTTTAAATTGTTGTGCCTTACATATTTAAGGAAGTGAAAGTCAAGATCAAGAATTTCAGCAGAGGATTAGAAATTATAAAATGAAAAATAGTAACTGAAATTAAGAACTCAATGACTGACTTTAGCAGCAGATTTGTTAACGGAAGTGAGATTTTAGTACACTGGAAGACAGGTCAAAAGAAAACATCCAGAATGAAGCAAATTGAGAATGCAGGAGATAGAGGAAATAATTTGTAAAAAGCCTAACATGTTTAATTGGTATCTCAGGAGAAGCCAAAATGAGGCAAAATTAATACGTAAAAAAAAAAAAAGAAGAAGACTCCCAAACTCAAGAGGTGTTCATCACCCAAGCAGCATAAATGCAACAGAGAGACAGAGAAAGGGGAAAAATGAAAAACCCACACTTAGACACCTCCCCATAAAACTGCTGAAAACCAAAAAGAAATATGACTGGAGGTGCTAGGACAGGGGTGAAACATTTGAAAGAGGGGAAAGAAG